AAAAAAAAAAAAAAAAAACAGAACTAAGAAGAGGGATAACATAGCAACTCACTATGGAAAAGGCTCCAATGAGTCTAATCAAGGATCCATATCAGTGGCACCCCTGTCGAGTGGCCCTTCACTCGGTGCTGATGTGTCTCATCATAGGCACAACTTCAACAAAACCAGTAACCATCAAGGCTAACGTTTCATAGACTCTCGCCGTATGTAAGCACAGTGTTAGGTAGGACACACATTATGTTATTTTAAAATCTTTATAACGACCCCAAGAGGTAGATGTTTTTTTCAATGTTTGTTTATCTTTGAGAGAGAGAGAGGGAACAGGGGAGGGGCAGAGGGAGAGGGAGAGAGAGAATCCCAAGCAGGCTCCATACTGTCAGCCCGGAGCCCCATGCAGTCTCCATCTCATGAAGTTGATGACCTGAGCCAAAATCAAGAGATGGATACTTAACCGACTGAGCCACCCAGGAGCCCCAGAGGTGGATATTTGGAACCGCATCTTTTAGCTAAGAGCACTGAAGTGTAAAGAAGATAAATAATTTGCCCACTGACCTAGTAAATGTGAGAGCCACAACCTGGATCCACATCTCTCTAACTGCTGAACCAGTATGGTTTGCTATTCATCGTTCCACACATGCTATTAATATCCAGGCACTAGGAGCGATATGAGGTTAATATCTGAGCACTAGGAGTATATGAGGTTCCTACCCTGATGGAGCGTTTATTCTAATGAGGGAGAAAGGTAACAAGCAAAGAAGCACGTAATATGGTATCACACAGTGATAAGTGCTCTGAAGACAAATGTCGTTGAGTGGGGAAAAAGAGTGATGGGTGTCAATGAGGAAACATCTTTCCAGAGAGGCTGCCTTCCACCCAAGAGCGTAAGCCGGTTGAGCAACACCAATGGAAAGCATCCCGGGAGCAGCGAACAGTTGTGTAAGGGCCCCTTGCCGCCTCCCTGCCCAAAATGAAGAACTCCATGCTCCCTGACATATACTGTCACCCTTATTGGTCTGGGGGCAGGCAACCGCGGGGACCTAAGGACACCCCAGCCACCCTGTGGGGAGGTCCATCGGAAAGGAACCATCTTGTCAGCACTAACTCGCTAGCCAGGCGGGTGAGCCACCTGAGAATAGTAGACCCTTCGGCCTCAGCCAGGCCTTCCAACACCCGCAGCCCCAGCCGACACGTGAGTTCAACCCATGACACGGAAGTGGGCGTGTGTGTGTGACTTCGGTTCTAACCTAAGTCGGAATCACCCAGCTTGGCCTCCCTGGGATTCCTGACCCACAGAAATCCTGAGCAGTAATTCAGGACGACTGTGAACATCTAAACGCATGATAAGTGTGCTCATAGGGTCCAGAAGTATCACGAAGACAATGGAGAGAAAAATCCCTGGTGCTGAGAACCTGTTTCTGATTCTGCTTTAATCAGCTTCAACCTGATATTGGGCGTTATTGTGGCTTCCTTGGGAAAG